CAAAAGAAAATGGCCAAAAGCCGTCAGATACCAGCTGGAGGGGGTGGGACAGTATGGGGCCGCCTTCCTTGTAGCAAAACGTGCGCGTGACTTTGGAGGAGCCCCTGCAGCAGGTTTTGGCGGGACTGTGGAATGCCGCCATTGCAACAAGCTGTGTGGCTGGTGCCCAAGCACCAGCAGGCTGCAGAGCCTGCTGTATGGCAGAGTTCGTATGGGAAGGGGACTCTACATGAGGGCACAGGCGCGCTGGCAGCCCTGTGGCGCGACTGACAGCCTGCGCCAAAGCGCGATGCGGCAAGGGCCCCGCGGGCGCGGCAGTAGGGAGCAGCCGGCTGGTGACGGCTGGTGTGTGCGCGCAGCCGGCGCGTGCACACATTGCCAAGCCAGGGCCGCACCAGTGAGAGGGGCCCCAGGGGGACCCGATGCCCAAACACACATACTCACCAGGCCCCAGAAAGCAGAGCCGGGGGGCGCAATCTTGGGCGGGATCAGCCATGCAGGGCTGCCCCTCACTGTTCATGCAGACCGGACTGCTCCATCCTCATCCCACACAGCGTTCCAGTCCATATGTGTTCATTACAAGCAATGCCAGCGCACAAGGAGGCTATGTCAACAGTGGCGGGCGACATCAACAGCAAGAAAGTTGCTTTGACGGCGACAAGCCTGAATGGGGCCAAGGACACGTGAGTTTACTGGGGACCTCAAGCCGGGCGCAGTGTTTCAGCGAGCGCAAGAGTGGATTCCTGTAGTATTGGCGGGCCCGAGACAAGCACAGTTTGCTGCCGGCTAACCCTGCGTGGTGGTATATAGATGTCAAATGATACAAGACAGACTGGGTGCAGCCTGCAAGACAGTCAGCAGGCAGCGCCCAACGGCGAAGCAACGATGTGCTCGAGGTATCTGCGCATGTGCCTCCAAGTGTACATCACAGCTTGCTATGCACCGCCTGTGACTTGCCACCAGACAGCCGCCGAATCACGGCCTCTAGCCGCGCGACGGCGCGCGGGTCGCTGATGGCGCCCCAGCCAAAGCGCGGCTCCTCGTCCTGGTAGTACCGCCGCCACTCGTCACAGAACGCAGCGCGCTGCCCCTGTTTGGTCGCAGCGCGCGCCTCTGGCGGCAGCTTCACAGCAGCTTCTATCCAATCAGTGGCCGCCCTCACAACGGCCTCCTGGCTGTCGTCGCTTGTGAGGGAGTCCACCAGCCCCAGGCGTAGCGCCTCTGCAGATGGCACCATGCGCCCGGCCAGGACCAGGCGCTCCGCCGCGGCCTGGCCGATGGTGCGGCCCATCAGAGCGGCCCAAAACTTGGGGACAGGGATGCCGAGGGGCACCTAGGAAATGGGAGAAGGGTGGCGGGACAGGGGACGATTGAAGTTCAAGAGTGTGATATTGTTAGAATCACCGCGTGGCGGCGGCGCCACCGCGTTGGAGGGGCGTCGCAGGATGAAGGTTGTGGGCTCTGCAGACCCACCGCATCAGTGCTTTGCAGAACCATGCCACAATCGCGCACGCACCCACAAAAGGGGCCCTGCCTCAGCGTGGAGTTGCAGGTCAGCCCTCCCCCTGCCCCCCCCACCTCGTTGAGGCCCATAGTGCCATTGGGTGTCATGAAGCGCGCGTCACAGCACAGCGCGATGCAGCAGCCGCCAGCAGGGCAGGCACCGCGTATGGCGGCGGCAGTGGCGAGGCGGCTGGAGTAGAGCCCCTCCAGCAAGCTGCTCTGGGCCAGCCAAAACTCCTTGTACCTTGGGGGAAGGGAGGGGGGTCACGGGAGGTGTGGGCAGGTGCCCACCCACGGACGAGAAGAGGGCTCAAGGGGGGCGGGGGCGGCGTTTGTCAACCCTGAGGGCGGGCCACCCGCACACGGCACACGGCGCACCCCCAACGCGGCTGTGGACGTGGCGCACCTGTCCGCGCTGGTGTTGGGTGCGTAGAGCTCCTTGAGGTCGTTGCCGGCGGTGAACACCTCCCGCTTGAGGCCGCTGGCAAACACCACGCCCCTCACGCTGGAATCCGCCTCGAGCTTGCGCAGCGTGCCCCCCAGGGCGGCCCACAGCGCCGTGTCGAAGCTGTTGACCGGCTCCTTGTGCACCAACACCAGAGCCCAGGGGCGCCCAGGGGGCCGCTCTACAGTGATGTGCTGCATGGCTGAGGGGGCCAGGGCCCGGCAGCACGGCCAGGGGTGACTCACAGCCGGAAAGGGGTGGTGGGTGACAGCAGGCTCGGCTGATGGAAATCGCTGGGATCCCGTGCACGCCCGCGAGGCACGCTGCAGGCGTGTCTATGGGGGCTGGTGGTAGGACTAGAGGGAGGGTTGCCTACAAGTAGGGAGAGGCCTGCAGATGGGTAGGTGCGGGGAGAGTGGATATGAGCGAAGATATACGAGGGGAATGGGGGCGGAGCCACGACGCCGATCAAGTGTGTGTGGCCTTCAGTTCAGGTCTCCAAGTTGTTTCCACACAGGCTGTGCCTGCTCGGTAGAACGAAAGTTTTGTTTGATCATCATCGGCCCACAACACACTAACTCTAACAAACAAAGGCACAAGGGCCCGGCCGCGTTATGTCAGAGTAAAGCTTAGTCTCATGGAAGGGTGTCAGGCCCTTCATCTGAAGGTGTCCTAAGAATGATTTTGGTTCATCACACACAGGCGGCCAGCCAAGTGAAATTCACGCAAGAGTGCAAGTGTCACAACACATAATGGTGACATTCGGCATGGGCAGTGAGGTAGTACGGAGAGTCAGTAAGAACGCAGCAATGTTTGTGTCAACCATCACCACCGTTAGGGCGGCTCTGATCAAGCGTTGGAATCATTGTTTTCTCATCAGCCTCTCGTTCTCAGCGCCCCTGCCGGTCCATAAGACAAGGCCGTTCCCAGCATAGAACGGCCCAGGCCACACGAAGATCGCGTCAACATACCAGAGCATACAGGTGATACGAAACATGACGCACACAGCCCTATTGGCAGTGTAGCAGGGCCCCCCAGCCGACCGCGGCGGCCGCGGCAGGGCTTAGTGGGGAGGCGCGAGCGCTGTGATCTCCTCAGGGGTTAAGGGACGGCGCTTCCCCACGGGAAAAGGGGGCCCGCACGGAGGATAATCTGAGGTTGCGCGGCCACCGGCTATGACACACACAATCGCAAACTCCTGTGCGAGCACGCTCTCCCCC